CCAGTGCTGTCGTCGTGGTTAAGAAATCCCACTGCAAATTTGAACATTGGAAAAAATTCACGGAGATTTTTGGCGCCTCAAACAGAAACTAATCCTCTCAATTTATCCTTTTACGATTAATACGATTAATAGGACCTTATTATCTAGCCATAATGAAACCACGTAATCCGTTCGTATAGGGTCTAGAATGGATAATCCGAGTAAAATGTGAGAGCATTCGTCGTTGGTCAATCATTTGTCGGGGTGCGCCATGCATTTGCCTCCCAATATCGTCATACGGTGTGGTCTACAATAAAATAAAGAAGACCAAGCGATGTTCAAATAAGGGTTTTTGTCCTCTCAGACAAGTACGGTGCGAGGTAGTTAACTTCGCAGTGATGGGAGCTTAGCCCACTCAAGCTTCATCTAATCCAGAACTGACCTCTAGCTAATTCAACTAACCACCTCTACGGGTCCGATTTCGTAAAATGAGATTTTAATATTGTGGCCACTACGCCACCTCCACTCTTACGAACTTCTTGATGTTTCTAGAATTCCTCATTCAAATACTTTTCCGATCTCTTGTATTCCAGTCCTAGGCCTCATGTCGTCTGGTGGTCAGTTGTACAAGCTACCTTGACACATTGAGCAGGAAAATGTCCCGTGCCAAAATTCCTTGCAGGTGCAAAGAAATGATCGATCTATGATTAACTCCAAGATAGTCCAAAGTTTGGTATCGATAGGGAGGAAATGATCCTTAAAAAAATAAAGAAATACTGGTTTCAAAGCTGGAAGACTCAGAAAAAGGTTAGTGTGCACGCTTGCTTGCGTGGTTTCCATAATTTCGGCTCACATGGGCTCTAATCACCCATTCTAGTGGAATGGGTGTTTCTGACGCGTTAAACTTCAATTCATTTTGATTGATTGAACCCAGAATAAAACGCCATTTTATTCTTTTTCGTCGTCGAAATGCTTGTCTGATTGGAAGCTATCAAACTCATCAGGTGACGAGAAATGAGGAAGCAGGGGTGTTGAATTTGAATTGAAGCGTCCTCTACTGCTTGGCTCTCCATATCAGTGGGATATCGGG